TAGACAATTTGGCCAAAGAATCCATTTTTCTTCTGGAAGGAGCAGCAAAAGCAAAAGTCCTGAAGGATGCCAAGAGCAGGAAAGCCTCAACATGGGGAGGCCTATTTGATGTTTCTCCTTCACTGATTAAATTTGAAATTGTTCCCAGGAAACTCCAGATGGAAGTGCAGACATAATCAAATGCCTATATAACCCCCAATCACTCCACAATCAGGCAATTCACAAGAACACTCTGTACCGAGGCAGTCCAGAATAATGGTAGGAACTATGGCTAAACCATTCCTATCCCAAGGCATTTCTGCTTCTGAAAGGTTTTAGCCAAAATGTTAAAGAAAAAATTGATCTAGGTAAAATGATAGCAAAGGTATAATATCACACTGTCCCACTCTGTGCCATTGTGTTGAAATTCTTGAAACCTTCTAAGTTGCTGCTGCTAGTAATAGAATACTTTTTCATTTATTTAATGCATGAAATATTAATGTATATATTACTATTTATGTTCTTGCCAACTTTCTTTCCTGGCTAATCCACTTGTAATGTTCAAAAAGCCATCAGGACTGAGTAAAACTAGTCCAAAAATGTGACCAGACATACTAGACGTGCCAGTAACTAAAGAAATGGTTATAGTATTCTACAAAGTGTTTATATTAAAAATAATATCCATATTATTATTATTTCCTTAAGCTACAGTAACACATTTAAAGTAGGCTCTCATCACTTTGTCAAAGCCCAGTGTGGTTTAATTTGAAGTGTACTATATGCTAGTATTCTATTTTCTCTATTTTAATAGATCTTTAACTAAATGAGAGCAATTAAAACAAACTTAACTATTTTTAATAAATGTTGGATATTAGGAATGAAGATGATACTTATAAAATACATCATCATCTTTTTACCCAAGGTATTTTTATATGATATCATAATTTTAATTTGCTACGAATTCTCAGAATGGTAACAGGGTGAAAGAAGAATGAGATAGTTTATAATAAAAAGAAAATGAAGACATTTTATATGATAACTACAGGGACAAATTGACCAGCTTTAAAAAAAAACAGCTGTAAATATCTGGTTCTTTTTTTAAAAAAACCTCTGTGAAAGATTCCTGTTTCTCATCTTCTAAAACATGGCATCTGTACATGGAAAAGTTCCAGAGAAATCTCATATACAGCAGCTTTCTGCTGTTTATCATTTTAAAGGATCCTTGGTATAAAACGACTGCAAATGTTTCATTCGTTTCCTAAAGAATTATATTTAAGTGGAGAAAGAGGCCTACCTAAAAATTTGCTGATTCTTGCAAAATGGCAGACATGCCTGTCCAAATCTGAACCAATACTTCATTTTAAGAATGTGGTGTTTCAGTCATATGCAGAGATATAAAATCATGACAATCAAGATGGAAGTCTCAAAATACAAAGAAAGTTAGAAATGTATTCTTTACAAACATATCACATCTGTCAGACTTAAGGCATTTTAAAAAGCAAAACAGTGTGTGACCATCTGGATGTAGTTGATCAACTTAATGTAGTATAAATAAAATAATAACAGATATAATCATCGAAGAAAAAAATGAATGATGCCTTTAAAAAAGAAAAAGGAAACAGCACGAAAGCATTTAAACTCTTGACTTCCCTACCACACAAATATTTAATAAAACACATTCCAAATGGCGTATTGAATGATGTATCCATGTGCTATTCTGCTTAGTTCATTCATAACTCTTATATTTGTGATAATTTTATATAATTTGATTTTTTTGGTAAAATGATGTATTTGGATCATTTTTATGTACTGATGTTAAATCGGTATCATAAATCGGTATTCATCGGCTCCAAAGATGAAATGTTCAACGTTAAATAATATATTTAAAGGAAGGAAGGAAGGAAGGAAGGAAGGAAGGAAGGAAGGAAGGAAGAAAGAAAGAAAGAAAGAAAGAAAGAAAGAAAGAAAGAAAGAAAGAAAGAAAGAAAGAAAGAAAGAAAGAAAGAAAGAAAGAAAGAAAGAAATTATCTGGAGTTATTAATCTCATCAAGTACCAACTATATGAGTGGCACAAGACTTTGAAAAGAAAAATATCAGGGATATGAACAAGAATGGTAAATCAGCAGAACTGATAAATACTGATAAGGATGCTGAGTGTTGTCATAGGGAGACATCAGGGAAGAATAGGAGGCTAACATCCTTTACTTATAAGCACAATATATCCCAAAATTTCTGATGCTATGTGAGACAGTTGTTAAGTACATTTTGCCACATTTTATGACCTTTCTTCCCACAGTTAAGTGAATCAATGCAGTTGATAGCTTAGTTAACATGGCTGTAAACTGAATCTGGCTTATCCATGACCCCAGGACAGTGCAATCATCATAAATATGAGCCAGTTGCCAAGTGTCTGAATTTTGATCATGTGACCATGGGGATGCTGTAACAGTTGTTAAAGTCATACGTCACTTTTTCAATGCCACTGTAACTTTGAACTGTCACTAAATGTATGGTTGTAACTCAAGGATTACATATAAGCCCTTTTGATGTAAATATACTACCTCCTTGGTGGATCTAGACTCCTAAATCAAGACTGTCATAATCACCCAGAACCAAGAAACAATGGGCATAGTTTTCTCAACTCCATTCTAGTTGAAATGCATAGGTTTTGTCCAGATAGCTGCCTCATCAAACTGAAACTTTTAATAAACTTCCCTTTTTGGCATTCCAACTTACTATTTGATAGCAATCCAATAACACTATTTCACTCCAGCTAAAATACAGAGATGGAATTTTATACAGTAACACAATTCTGTATTTTCAGTTCTAATCATGGTTAGCTACATTTTCAAGAGTTCCAAGACAGAGGTTAACATAATTCAACATTATATATATTTTTGCATGCATAGTTTTTGAATTAAATTTGCTGTGTAAATAAATGGGCATATAATTGAATTATCTGCATGTGAAAATATCTACAGTATTCCTTATTCATTTTCAAAAAAGAGAGAGAACCAAATAGATTGATATGCAGCTTCTTTCAATCTAATGCTGAATGGGACGACTACAATACTCCTAGAATTCTGTATTCAGTATGCCAATTTTTCTGGTATTTTTATCCTAATATATAGGGAAGGGGAGTATCAATTTGGGTAGGATACTATAACACAATTATCTAAAGCAAGGCACTTTAACTAGCTAATACTCTATTTATTATTATTCCTTAGGAAGAAAATAGTTTGTTATAACAAAATCCTCCCATTTGACTTCTTCTGATATTCAATTTTTTCTCAAGCAAAACAAATAGAGGCAGCTCTAATTGACAAACTATACAGTACAGTATGTATTTGCAACATTTGTCCTTAATCAAGAAACCTTCCCAAAATTAATCTGAGAGGCTTATTCCTTTTCCACAAGTGGTTTATCTTAAAAAACTATCTGGTCCTTGTGGTTTTGTTCTCTAATTTTCCTTTTTTCCTCCAGTCTCCTTGGGATGTAAGAAGAATAGATTCAGAATTCTCTCTGAGATCCAAGTTTTTAAAAGACACATTTATATAGAAACCATAGAACTTTAGACTAAACTCACATTTCAAGGTCTTCAATATTTGAAATCTTGAAGGAAAAAAGGAAAACGTGGGGGTAGGCAGGTGGCCATTTTTCCAATTTGGCTCATAATTTATGAATCAAAATGAGATGGAACTTGGAGGAAAATAAATTATGCTTCTTATATAGTCTACCACTGAAAGCAAGCATTTCAAAGTATTTCCAACCTTCAGGGAGGGGAAATCCTTCTGCAAGGATTTTTTTTGTGTCGGCTAATGAACAACAGGTTGTTCTAAACTGTGTGAAAATGCTGTACAGACACAGCCTCAGAGTAAATAGCCCTTTGACTAAGAACTAAACTAAACAGATCTGTCAGGTGCTGGAAGTTCTGGTTGACATTTAAACCAGCATTCCATTTTTTTTCCATTAAAAACAGCATTTAACAACAACAGAAAGTTTCCATCAAGTAATTCACCTAACGAGTTCACCTAACAGATTTAGTTTCTAAGGTTCTTTTTAAACTTCAATTGACAGCAGGGTTTACTAAATCTATTTAGTAAATCTTTTTTTAAAAATTTATTCACTGTAGATTTTGCCAATATTTCATCCTCTTCCTTTTCTAGCATATTCTCCTTATGCAATTAATATTGAAGTTCATTTCAAATAACCCTAAAACAATACAGAATACTTGTGATTAAATAGAACCTCAGTGTTAATATGTCTGTTTTTATTATAAATGGATGGCTTACTGTCTACCATATATTTCATGAGACTGCATCCTGCCTATCTTGATATGCATTGAAGAATCTGGACTATTTCCTGATTTTCAGTTTCAGTTCATTAGTGTAAAAAGGGAAATCAACTTCAGTTTCAGTTTTAAAATCTCAGACAGTATGTCTTCTTGGGATGAATATATCAGCAATACAAGTAGTGATGTTGCACCAAATATTCTTTCCCTATAGGACTCAATTCTATATGAAGAGAACTAGAGAAAGGACTGCAATATTGATATCCAGCATGTGAATGAAATGTGAACATGGTCTCTTATTCCATGCCAGAATAAATAGAACCCAGTTCCTACTTATTAAAGTAACAAACATTGCATTATTGTAAGAAAACCGTGCAAAGAATAAAGCATAGGTCGGCTATCATTATTCCCTATCACCTAGGAGTCACTACCTTGTTCAAAGTTGCATTGATCTTCATTTCTAACTTTTGTGCCAACTGCACTATTCAGGATAGTATGATCCTTGTTGAAGCAAAAGTCTCAGTGTTTACAGGCTGGAATGAAACTGGGATAAATACTAGGTATTAACAAATTATACCTCTGAGTTATTGCTGAAAAATATTTTTTTCTGGGGAAAATGTTAAACACATTGTACCTTTTATTAATGATTTGGCAAATATTACTGCACAGTTTTGCCTATTTCTCTCTTGAAATATGTCAAAGACTGACATCAGCATGAAAAAACAGTTACCTCATTGTCAGTTCCCACATCGAGCATAATGGGCAGACACTCCTGGGGCTTTACTCCTCCACACACTGTGTAAAGTGCTAGTTTACCCACCGGGATGCCCATTCCATAACAACCTAGGTCTCCAAGGCCAAGAATACGTTCTCCGTCAGTCACCACAATCGCCTGTGGAAAAGTATGGTAAGCATTATAAATCTGCAAAGGTATCCTGAATTCTTTGTTATGATCAGTTTTAAACTCTGTCATGCTATTATTATTTTCTAAATAACTACAATGAATGAATGAATGAATGAATAAATAAATAAATAAATAAATAAATAAATAAATAAATAAATAAATAAA